CTCCCTCCTCCACCCCCTACTTAACTGGCTCTGACACTGGCTGTAGCTCCCTGCTGCAGCCACCAGAGACTGCCCGAATCACCAAAGCTCTCCAGATCTTTTCTGAAGATTTAGAGAGCTTCGAGTCTATTTGGACCTTTTAACTGGTCCCCTGATTCAGTTTGGATTTGGAGATTTGGCCACCAACTTGGGCCAAATCTCCTCCAAATTGACTCACCACCCAAAGCTTCGCACAGCCCTAACGTTCATCTCCATAGTCTTGTTTTGACCTTTCAAAAAGATAAAAATATTGCCCCTGATATTTCATTTCTTTCCCTAACAACTGACTCTGCAAACTTTACCAGAACTCAGAAACTTGAATTGTTTACTTTCTGGCTTTTGCGTCATTACCAGTTCTACCAGCAATAAAATGCTGGCAACTGGAATCTACCTAACAATTCAGTTTTACTGCTTTAGGTAGAAAACAGCTAAGTTTTACTGCTTAGTCCAATGAAGTTATATTGGTTCAGAGTTGTTAACATGAGTAAAAACTACTACAAATGCATTTTGTTCAGTAATGTGAGCAGCTTTGGCTTAGGGAGTAAATTTAGTGCATTTTTATTTCAATTCCTGTTTTTATGATAACATGGTAGGATAAGAAGTGAGGCTCAAAGTCTCTGTATAACAGTCATATGAGAAGAAACATAATTGTTAAGCTAGGAAGCCTGTCAGTCCTACACCAGTGCTTCTTATCTGGGCTAGGTTAGTAATGACTGCAAATCAATAGATCTTTGGTGGATTGTACAGTGTGAGTTTGCATTGTCATTCAAGTTTCACACCACAATACACTCCAAGAGTTACTGACATCTTTTTTGTTTTCTCAAAGCAGTAAATGGTCCTAGGAAATACTGGATGCAGACAGAAGTTACATTTTTCACATGGTCAGCCGCCTGAGAGAGCTCTACAGCTGTGCCATGACACACACGCACGGCTGCAGAGCACTTTTAAAGTGGCCAATTGTGCAAAAACTTAACCCTCATCAAATGAGGTATCAGATGAAGGTGCTCTACTTTAGAGTGCCTTAGGGAACTTGCCTTTCCTAGGGTAAATTTTTCATGTGATCAGTCCAGTCCTGGGCTGTTAGCAGAAAGGGAGGGGGGAATGGGGAGGAGGAAGCCAGCAACAGCGAGCTGATGGCTGGGGTTTGCCCAGCCTGAGCTAGGGAAGGAGGTGGATAAGAGCCCTTCCACCTTGTGCCCTCCCCACCAACAACCCTGCCAGCTCAGGCTGAGAAACCCCTAGCCAGCATAACAACTGTCAGGTCAGGGGGGCGCTTTAACTTATGGCACTTTATGTAGATTGCCATGAGTTAGAGTGGGGGCCCGCACATTTGTCAGCACCCATTGTGATCCCTTCACCTATCCTAAACTCTATAGTTGAGGATGGCAGTACATGTGGCAGAATCATGAAGTAAGTCATTATGGGCGACTGGTGCCTCCTGAGTCTTGGGGGAGGTACCTACAAAAGCCAGCAGTGGTGGGGATGGAGCTGGCAAGCACCCACAGATGCCACTGGCAGTGGTGGGGATGGCCCTGTCAGGCGGGGCATGTTCCCCCCCATGCCTCCTTGTATCCCCCTACCAGTCACCTATGGAAGTCATGTGTTATTTCTATTACTTTCCTTGTCTGTCAAATACTGATTTTAGTGCAAAGGGATAAATGAAAGTAGAGAATAGTTTCATATTTTTAAGACATGAGGAAGTTGAATTTAATCATAAAAATAAGGAAAAATCTTGACCCCTTCATTTAAAAAAAAATCCATAGTTTTTTTTCTAAGGAAGTTGTTGAAATCTGTTGGGTTACCCTTTGGTCACCTTTAAATCTACCTTCTAGTTCTATGTAATATCTTATATGTATTCTTCAGTAGTTACATGATTAACTGTCTTTTGTGGGTGGTTATAGATTCTTATTTAAGATTATAGGACAAATATATATCATCTGAAATTCATGATTAAAATTTATAATCCAGATGAAGATATTTAGAAGATTTTAAACTGGGGGGATTAAAAGGGGATTAGTGGGCAAATGCAGGAGGAAATATATAAATCATATTTAAATGAAATCTGTTATGATTTTAAGAACAGCTAAAGGAAGAACTTGGCAGAAACAGAGAAAGAAGGTTAAGATAAAAGGCTAAAATCAGGACTGAAGTAGGAATTATGCCTGCAGATTTAATTTACAATGTCACTTCATGAATTTTTAAATTGCATGTTTAGAATTATGCCTTCCAGATTCCTAGAAACATTTTTTCTTCTCATCACTTCCATTGTGCCGACACCAAAGCAATCCCTCTGCACATCATTAGAACAGACAATAGATTAGATTTTAATTGGCAGAGGATTAAAATGAACCTCACACCTACATTTCTGGGAACCTGCACAGACACATGGCCTGGCCATACCACTATAGGTCATGAAGTACTTTTGTCTCTAGCAGAGTTAAGTGCCAGTACTGAACAGAGATCAAGGACAGTACATATCTGTGGGCAACAACAGAGCCCCAACAATTATCATTCAGTACGGAACAGATACATATGAGAGGATTGGGTATGGCTGCAAATAACCCTTGTTACCCTGTTCCCCAAAATTTCAGCACAGGCCAAGATCCAGACACTGAAGAAAAACCTGACAGAAGGGAAATTAGCTTTATATGAAAATAACCGGTAATTCTTAAACCAGCCTGATGTCTTAGTTTACCCAAAACTCACATCCAAACAACCCAGACCTTGAGATGTAGGGGAATTCTAGGTGGATTTTTTGGTTAGTAGCCCAATAAATGGTTCAGACTATTTTTATCATGGTGCCTAAAAATTACTACTATCTGGCACTGGGTATAGGAGTGGGCAAGTTGAGACATCTTTCATGCTAAAGTCTTCGTTTCAGTGTTCCATTATAAATAAAGGAAGGTGTCAGGTTGTTCATATTATTTTTAATGCAGAAATGCCTGTTCCTGTTCCTGATATAGCTGGTTTGATCCAGCTCCAATTAAACCATCTGGAAAAATTCAGTTGACATCAGTGGGAGCAGAAAAAAGCCAACCCAGATGCAAGTCCTGTGCCTACAAACTTCTCTCCGTGAATTGAATGGAAATGCACAATCAGAGCATCATGGAGCAAATATTTAATATGTCTGCATCATTTAGAAGATGTTTTCCAGAATGTCAAGATTTTGCATTGTTCTCCAGCAAAATTAAGGCTACCTTAAGCTAATGAAACTCTGAAGGTACATATAAACAGTCTCATTTTTTCTGCTCTCATTTAATATGAAGTGTCACTTCAGATACCTAATGCAGCCTATGATTTAAAATGTAATGCAAAATTAAGATTGGTCTTCTGTGCAGACACTTTGGAAAAGTTACATACATTAACTATCGTACGTATTCTTACACAAGTTGAATAGTGAAAATATTGTAGAACATACAGACACCTAAAGAAATTAGAGTTTACTTCAAACAAACACTAAAATATCACATTGTATGAGTATAGCAAGGAATCAAGCTCAGCAGTTTTGAATTGCATATTGTTGCTTTATAGTTTTTCCTGACTCTCATAAACTCCTAAGAAAATGATAAAATTATTACAATGAGGAGTATGAATTATGGTAAATGACAGTAGGAGAAGATACTTAATGCTATTGTATTTTATTGGGTGATCTAATTACTAAGTCTGACAAAACCTACTTCCCAAATTCTGGCAGAAAGATATTAATTTAAAAAAAAATAGCTAGCTGCTATGTTGAAGATGTTGTATAGGATTCTGAGAAAGTATTTTAAATTGACAATTCCAGACAACAGAATTCTCCAGATCCTTGTCAGGATGCTCAGTGCCAGCAACCCAACTTCCAGAACTTTACTGAAATGACAGGAAAATGTATACATGTCTCTGTTTCAATGATTTTCAACCACAGTTCTATGAGATCCTTTCAAGGATGTTACACAATATTAGGTGTGCAAATACCTACACAATTCACAAGATAAACCCAGAGATTTCCAATAGGAATCTGTAGTGTCAAACACATCCTGACCTATTGTGGTCTTTCTCAGTTCTTTGCAATAGAAGACTTGTTATACGATTTTTCCATAGTCTAGAAATGAATGAAAGCTAAAACCTGGCATTTTCTGAGGGGTGCCTTGAGTCTAACAAGAGATGCCTTGAGTTTAACAAGGTTGCAAACCACTGCTCTATATGCACAATCTTAATCTCACCACCTCTTCCCCTATTTTTGCATCGCTTTTTCCAAATCACCTTGGGAGATCACTGCATTGTGAAAATGAACCTTCCCTTCTACCCCACTGTCCCTGCCCTCTCCTCCAAACAGGAACCTTAAGTGAAAATGAAAGCAGTGATTCTAGTGCTTAATCTTTTGAGGGAGTTTTTTTTTTACTCTTTATTTTATGAGAATTTTAAGCATATTCTAAATGAGATGAAAAGATAATAATTTGTATGGTGATTTGAAGAGGGAATTAATCATCTGAAGCATATTTTATTTCATTTTTAGGTCTCTTATTTTTATAAACTTCACCTTTATTTTAAAATTATTTTAAAAAAACCCATATTAACAGACATTAACCTCTGTTACAGTACAAAGTTTGCCTTAAATTACTAAAATCTGAACATGAATTCAGATTAATAAAAAATCTGAATATTGATTAGGAAATCATTATACATAAACAGAAATAGAAAACAAGTGTAAAATGGATTAAGTTATTTATCTACCCGGTCCAGGCAATATACTGATTTATGACAGACCCACTCCCGAGACATTATAGTCAATCAGTCTTGGCACTGACTTCAAAGGGATAAGGATTTACTGGCCATTGGGACTGAAGATTTGATTTTCAGAAGAGCTGAGCACCCACATTTCTAAGTCGAGTCATTAAAAGCTATGAACTTTGAAAATTGGACCCCGAATAATTTAGGAGCTAGTTCCCACATACAGAACACTGCATAACTCTTTGGAAAAATAACTAAACAACTGATTTCACTAACATAGAAAGAAACATATGATATGATGTTATATATATGCAAAAATTATGTGTATTTCTTGTTAGACATACATAGTAAGAAAGAAAATGCAATAATAAGTATCTGAGAAAAGTGTACTATGACAGAGGTGTTTTTCTGCTGTGTTTCAGAATCACTCAGCCTAGATCTTGGAAAGAAAGTCAGCATCCCCAAAGATATCATGGTAGAGGAATTATCAACACTCAGCAACAGAGGTGCAAGGCTATTTAAGAAGCGTCAAAGGAGATCTGACAAATACACCTACGAAAACTATCATTATGTAACAAACAAGCCAAGGAACGTGAGTATTTTGTATTTATGTTTCTGAATAGTGAGTGTAGCCTGGGGTGAGTGTGACTTCAAGATTTATCCACAGCTACAGGTCCAGTATGGAGCACAAAGTGGGCCATTTCTGTTTGGACTATTCTACAAAAAGTAGAAGGTCCAGCTCTGGGCCTTGCCTTAAAGTCCCCCCAAATGGGACTACAAGATTTAAGGGTCTCGTGTACAAAAGATTCACATTCAAATCAGGCTCAGGTCAGGTGTGAGCAAAAGTCATTACCATGTGGCAGTTGATTGGTGACTTCTGGATGTTGCACAAATAAACTTCTTTCATTAATTTAATGATATCTGAGAGCTCTGAAGATGCAAAGTTCTGTGCGCCATGTACATTGGGAAGTGTTTTTACTGTATTTACTCCAATATAAGGGGAAGGTCTTGGAAAAGATTATCAAGGAGGCCATTCTTAACAGACTAGCTGAAGGCAATATCCTGAGGGATACCCAGCATGGGTTTGTTGTGGGTAGGCCTTGCTTAATCAATCTCATTTCCTTTTATGACCAGTTGACTTATCACCTGGACAAGGGGGAAGAGATCGACGTTGTATACCTCAACTTTAAAAAAGCCTTCGATCTGGTATCCCACGATCACCTCTTGGCTAAACTGACTAACTGTGGCCTTGATGTCACCAAGATCTGCTGGCTGGGGAACTGGCTCCGCGGTAGGACCCAGAGGGTGGTGGTCGACAGGAGTGTCTTGGTGCGCTGTGACCACTGGGGTCCCACAAGTCTCTGTCCTAGGGCCTATACTGTTTAACATCTTCATCAACAATGTGGACATTGGTGTCAGAAGTGGACTGGCCAAGTTCGCCAATGACACCAAATTCTGGGGTAAAGCATCCACACCTGAGGATAGGAGGGTGATCCAGGTGGATCTGGATAGACTCATGAAATGGGCGGATGAGAACCTGATGGTGTTCAACACTGAAAAATGCAAAGTTCTCCACCTTGGGAGGAAAAACCTACACCATGCTTATAGGCTTGGTAGTGCTACACTGGTTAACACTACAGATGAAAGGGACTTGGGGGTTATGGTTGACCACAAGATGAACATGAGCCTTCAGTGTACAGCGGCTAGTACAGCGAGCAAAACGCTGGTTTGCATCCATAGATGCTTCTCAAGCAGATCCCAAGATGTCATTCTCCTACTGTACTCAGCCTTGGTGAGGCCGCAGCTGGAGTACTGCATCCAGTTTTGGGCTCCACAATTCCAAAGGGATGTGGAGAAGCTTGAGAGGGTGCAGAGGAGAGCCATGCGCATGATCAGAGGTCAGGAAAACAGACGTTATGATGAGAGGCTGAGAGCCATGAGGCTATTCATCCTGGAAAAGCACAGCTCAGGGGTGATCTGGTGGCCACCTATAAATTTTTCAGGGGTGTTCATCAGGATCTGGGGGAACGTCTGTTCTCCAGAGCCCCCCAAGGGATGACAAGATCAAACGGTCACAAACTCCACTGTGACCGATTCAGGCTGGACATAAGAAAGAACTTCTTCACTGTCTGGGCCCCAAGGTTTGAAACAGACTGCCACCTGAAGCAGTTCAAGCACCCACTTTGAACGCCTTCAAAACACATTTGGATTCTTATCTTGCTGGGATCCTATGATCCCTGCTGACTTCCTGCCCCTGGGGCAGGGGGCTGGACTCGATGATCCTCCGGGGTCCCTTCCAGCCCAAATAGCTATGAAATCTATGAAATAAGATAAGGTTTTTTTTCCTCAACCAGAATGGGGGGGAAAAAGCTCCTTGTCTTCTTTCAGGGGCGGACAATTATTTTGAGTGGAAGGTTGCTTAACCAGGTTTGGTGAACTTTTGAGGGCCGCGTGGGTAGCCCCTCCACCCCTTGACAGTTGATGCACCTCTTGGTTGCCATCTAGGGACTTGTGCGGGCTTGGCATGTCCGATGCCGTACCCGCCTTTTCACACATCTTGCCCAAAGCTTTTCCAACCACTATGAGCCCCTCCTCTCAGCCTGTCCGCGCTTGATACGCCTGCCACGACTTTGATGTTATTCCGGTTCAGTGATCTTATTCTGGAATGTATCAGTCCAAAAGTGAGACTCCGGGACTCTTGGGGTCCCTAGTCAGTGAGGGCTCCGCCACCCCTACACCCTCGCCCATACCACCAGGTCTGTCGTCATCTCGGGTCAACGGACCCGTCAGTAGGTCGCTCCTTTTTCACTCGGAGATATCTGTTTTATGCCATCAATTTTTCCAGCCAGAGGTTATTTGGGCACTGGGCTACCCTGCCCTCTGTGCGCTATTGTTACTACCTGGCTGCTAATAGTTTCATAGATAGTTTCATAGATTAAGGGTCGGAAGGGACCTAGTAGATCTTCTAGCCCGACCCCCCGCCAGGGCGGGAGAACAACAAAAACCCCAAAAACAAGAAACGGGACTCAAATGAGTCCAGCCAGGTAGGCATCCAGCCTCTTCTTAAAGACCCCCAGGGTAGGGGCCAGCACCACTTCCCTTGGAAGTTGGTTCCAGCTCCTAGCCGCCCTAACTGTGAAGTAGTTTTTGCGGATGTCCAATCTATACCTCCTCTCCATCAACTTGTGCCCATTACTCCTTGTTATGCCAGCGGGCGCTAGGGGAAACAGCGTCTCCCCCAAACCCTTCTGGTCCCCCCTAGTGAGTTTATAGACGGTCACCAGGTCCCCCCTCAGCCTTCTCTTGTGGAGGCTGAATAGGTTCAGGTCCCGCAGTCTCTCACTGTAGGGTCTGCCCTGTTGTCCCCGGATCATGCGGGTGGCCCTCCTCTGGACCCTCTCCATATTGTCCACATCCCTCTTGAAATGGGGCGCACAGAACTGGACACAATACTCCAGCTGTGGCCTGACCAGCGTCGCGTAGAGGGGGAGGATCACCTCCTTGGCTCTACTCGAGATGCACCTGTGGATGCACGATAAGGTCCGGTTAGCCCTGCCAACCATGACCTCGCATTGTCGGCCCATGTTCATCTTGGAGTCAATAATGACTCCAAGATCTCTTTCTGCCTCCGTGCTCTCAAGTAGGGAGTTCCCCATTGTGTAAGTGTGCTGCTGGTTCCTACTGCCCAAGTGCAGCACCCTGCACTTGTCCGTATTGAAACGCATCCTGTTCCTGTTAGCCCACCCCTGTAACCTATCCAGATCCTTCTGCAATCTCTCACTCCCTGCTAGCGTGCTCACCTCCCCCCAAATTTTGTTCAAGCACTCATCCCTAGAACCCTCTCAGGGCTCGTTAGTCCATTCCCTGGCTTCTTGCCAACTTTCAGTCCTTATAAACACTGGCCAGCCTCTTCTTCTGTAGAGAGTGCCCCTCTACTACAATCTATACGGCTCCCAGCTTCTGCCGGGTCCAGCCGTTCTCAGCCACGCTGCACAGCCCGGGTCTTCGCTGGGACCCGTTGTCCCTGCTTCCCCGCAGTGTGGGGGCTTCGCCTTACCCCACCAGGTCTGACAGCACCTCCGGACAGTTCCACTCCGCTTGCCAGTGCTCCCTCTTGCCGCTGCAGCCGCCTGGCTTCCTTCCGGCTCCACCTCCTCTCTTCCAGACGCCGGTGTCCCTCTTATGCTGGTCCTTGCCATCCGGGCCACGCCTCCTTCACCACACCTGAAGACGGTAAGGGGTTGCCCAGCGTTCCGGCCGTGTGGGAGGGAGTTCAGCGCTGCTGCACCGGGGCGAGAAGCCTCCGATCCGGCCTGCCTCTTCACTCCCTCACATATCCCGCCCCTCAAGACGCTGCTAGGCGTTCTTCTTATGGGCTTTGGCCCTCCACAATCCTGTCCTGTTCTTCGGGACACCCTTCATCACATAGTGAAAAAAAATCCGCCGCTACATTTGCTTTCCCCGGTTTGTACGCCACTCAAAAGCGGAAAGGTTGGAGAGCTAGGGCCCATCGCATGATACAAGCGTTATCCATCTTAGCGGAGTTTAACCATCTCAAAGGGGCATGATCGGTGATTAACTTGAACTCACGCCCTAGGAGGTAGTATCTGAAATAATCCACCCCCCATCGGATAGCCAAGCATTCCCTCTCTATGGTAGAATACCTCTTTTCCTGTGCGTTGAGCTTCCAGCTAGCGTACGCCACCGGACGCTCCAGTCCATCCACCTCCTGCGACAGGACAGCTCCGAGGGCGTAGGCCAATGCATCAGTCTGCAACGTAAACGGGAGGGCAAAATTGGGCGTATGTAGAATTACCTCCTGGCAGAGAGCTCTTTTTAATTCTTCAAAAGCTCGTCGCTGCTCTTCGTTCCACTCGATGCTTCCCACTCGCCTGCCCTTCGTTGTTTCCACCAAGGGGCTGGCGATTTCAGCAAACTTGGGGATAAACCGCCTATAATAGCTGGCTAGCCCCAAAAAGGCGTGCATCTGCTTCTTGGTTGTTGGAGCCATGTATTCTCTAAAGGCGACCACTTTATCCGCGAGGGGCCTCACCCGGCCTTGCCCCACTACAAACCCCAGATACTTAGTCTCTTCCTTGCCCAGGGCACACTTCTTGGGATTGGCCGTTAATCCCATTTGCCGTAGCTCGAGCAGAATGGCTCGGAGAGCCTTTAAATGCTGCTCCCAAGTCTCGGTATAGATGACGATATCGTCTATATATGCTGCGGCATACCCTTGATGGGGGGCAAGGACCCAGTCCATCAATCTCTGAAATGTGGCTGCAGCCCCACTAAGCCCGAAGGGCATTATTTTGAATTCAAAGAGGCCCCAGGGGGTACCGAATGCTGTCTTTGGCTGATCTTCCTTTCGTAAAGGGATCTGCCAATATCCCTTTGACAGGTCCAGGGTTGAAATAAATTTTGCTTGCCCTATACGCTCCACCTGTTCGCTAACTTGAGGCATGGGGAATGCGTCAAATTGGGTTAGGGCGTTTACTTTTCTGAAGTCAACACAGAGCCGCAGGCTTCCATCGGGTTTCTCGACAGCCACTAAGGGGCTACGCCATGGACTACGGGACGGTGTAATGA